ACTGAGAAGATGCAGTGAGAACTTTGTGTGTTTTAGAATGTGTATGTGGAGGGCAATACTGGTTTCTATGATAAGAAAACAATGCAATGCACTAATGTGTGGGTGTGTCAAACATTAGTCTTGTCATCTTTTGAATTGTGGACCGGTTTCACCGCAACTAAAAATTTATTTAGGGTATTTGAATAACGCACCTCCACGATATGTGCTCCAAACTTTTCTTCGAACCGTCGCCGTGCTTTTGGTTCAGTCTGCAAGCCTGTGTAATTGAAATTGGTATTAGCATATATTGTGAACACTCAAAGCCTAAATAATACCATAAGTCGTTGCGTCGCTTGAAAAGCTTGTGGTGTTCATCAAGCTCGCAACAAGATCCTGTGGAGTCTTCCTGGTCCGGAGGATGGTATGTGCCATTGTGCTCGAAATCCGCACCTTGCGCTCTTGGTACCACCTGTTGGTATCGAGAACATGAATTTAATCTGAGGAACGGAGTTTACAGCTATTCTGAAAAGTAGTGTTAATAGAGTCATCTTCAGCACCAGGCACATGCAGGCCAAGGCAAGAAAGTCGAGGAAAAAAAACAAAAAACTCCAAAGCAAACAGACAGTGCAGATTTTGGGCAATAATTTGCTAGTGGAAAGAGCAGATCCTTCAGACCTTTTGAAATTGCATTATCAATACTGCGGTTTCACCACTTCAAGAGTACAGTTTCGCATGAAACCTCACTACAAAGCTGGGCCTCTCGAAAGCACCCCAGATAGGTGCCAACATGCACCCTGACCTCTGAGGAGGTAAAAGATCTCACTGTGCACACTTGGACTGTGCCATCGTTGCCATGCAGATTCCGAGTACATCACGAGAAGCCACTCTTTCTTGAAAGAATGCTTTCTCGGGGTCTGTGAGTTGATCTTGACGGTACTTCAGTGCCTCTCCGTCCGAAGCCTGATGCGTTAGATGTTGCAGCACCACTTCCACTTCAGACTTCCTCACAATGGTGACCGCATCATTTACAATGTCTTCTAAGAGCTGGGCACACTCCAGCTCTACTTGATTCTGTCCTGTCAATCGCAGAATGTCCGTAAATGGGGTGTCAATGTCTGGGAAATGGTCAATGATGTAGCGTGGCAGCACCTCTCGTGGCTCTTGTTTTCCTACGAAGTTGCTTCGGTTGCCTGTGAAATTAACATTGCACGCCATTAACAACTCATAAATACAAGGTTGTAGATAATTTAAAAAAAAAAAGGTTAATACGTCCAGATTGCATGCAGGGTTTGGGGGAAAATTGCAGTTTGCGTCAGCAAGATATTAATCAATTTGGGGTAATAGTTGATGTTTGCTTGCCCATGCTTGGAAACCATCATAGCTGTTTAGCTTGCAGAAGGGTGCTAGGTAGGGCTAGTTGCTAAGACGACATAGTGAAAAGTGCAGCACACAAGAAACTTGACACACAACACCTATGTTTCGTTTCTCTCCTTGTCTGTTGTGCACTGTAATTTTTACATATATCTAACTCGGGAGTCACTTCACAGGTATAATCTAAAAGTAAAACCAATGATATTGATAGTTATGCTTAACAAGGAGGCTGTAATTCTCCGTGACGTGCGGGACTAGGCTAGATACTCGGATCCTGTGCAATACTTTTATTTTTTTCTGTTGAACAGCACCCAAAATAAAACATGTGCATAAGCTCAAAACAGTGCTCCGTGGATACATTGTATCGCTGGTGTCTGGTATTCCGTTAGGCGCGGCCCAATCGCCAACCCAGCAGTAACTTGCACGATAACGTGCACGACTTGACACTAGCTTTTGCGACTCGTGAACGTCAACGCCACATAACGGTGCTGCAGCATGCTCGTGAACCGATATGGTTGCACTCCTACCTCCAAAAAGGTCCCCGATCGACGCCTTGTCGCTTAATTTCGGCCTCTTTGAAGGCTTGCCCCACGCTTGGGGCACGCTAGTGCAAGCGCTGACCTCGTGCGTGTTGATGTAGTGCACTACAGCGGCGCTGTGCTTGCACTCGCCGAGGACACCGTACCGGCAAGTGCAGGACCCGGCGACGACCTTTCGCGAGTCTTGGATTAGCTGTGCAAGGAAAACATTAATAAATCACCCTTTTGTCCATGTAAATCTCGATAATATATCTACTCCTCATTGCTTGCACTCACCTGGAGTGTTACGTCGTACACGTGTTTTCCCTGCTGGGAATGGCACTTGGCCGCGATGTCCGTGCCGTTCTCTTCCCGCACGCCATACACGTGGTTGTTCTGGAACAACCTCTTCCCCTTTTCTAATGCCTGGTCGCGATAAAAGTTGCCGATATCTTGAATTGGTTTGAATCCGCAAAATAAAATAACGGGTGGCATCTTTCACGTGATACCGGCCGTGTCGCCGATTTAAGCCTTCTCAGTAATACGGCATTTGGCCACGGTGGCGCTGGCGATCAACCGACGGTGGCGCGCCCTAGGTACACTGCCCAGGGGGTATAGGGGCCCGTGCGATCGTCATAGGTTGTCATGGAATATTTTACGATAGACAGACCCTGATGAGGGCGCACACACTACTGACCAAGAGAAAAAACGAAAAGAAAACTAGATGTTAGCGGTTAGGCAGCGCGTGCATGCGATGGCTGCCGTTTTATTACAACTCACGATGTAATTTTTCTTGAAGTAGAGTACTCCTTAACGACCTTGAATACGGAAGCATTATATGAGATTCCTTAAATAAGAGGGGGGTGCACCTTCAAGATTTTTAAAACGTATGGAAAGGACCCAGTGCAAACAAATATATATATTTGTAATTATATGTTACATAAAAATGCCATCTGTAATATTTTTAAGGAAGATTACGACGTATTCAGTTGTTTGGCTGAAATAAGATTTTTAGTGGGCTTTGCTGAGGAATTTGCAGAGATTGAGTAAGGAACAAATGTCCTAGAGTGGTAGGATAACATGTTATCCCAGCTCCTTTTCTTCTTTTTTTTGCGGGGGGAAGGGGAGGTGGGGTGGAGGTGACGAACGATTCCAATTTGCTTAAGGAGGGAGACTACCTCGAATTGCACCTCTTTTAAAGAAATGCGTATTCAAAATTGCAAAGTTTTGGCATGTGCGGATAACAAAACACTCTCACAAAGCCTTGTCAATGTGCACTGACAAACAATGTCAAAAATAATTATTCTTTATATGTTGGTGAGGTGTGCTGCACTGCGTACCACTCGTCATCCACAAGTGAAAATAGCTGAAAGCAATGTCAGTATTTCAGAAGAAGTTTGAGGAAGACATCACCTACACTGGTGGAAAGAATTTCTGACTTTAAGACGCAAAAATAAATTTTTAAAACGTCATCATGAAACTTCAAGTGCATTTATCTCAGCTTCACTTTTTATTGTCAAATATCAGTTCAGGGAAGCTATCATTTCATAATCAAGTTATGTGTGCTGATATATTTTGGTTTTTCTATATAGAAATTTTCTGGAGAACACGACTGGGTACTTACTTTCTGCATTTCTATGCTCTTTTGTTATGAAAAGTTAACATTTCTTTCAAATCAAATAAATTTTATAATTTTCGAAATTTCTTTTCATAGTCGTCTGAAGCAAGTATTCTGCTGTGTGTTCCAGTAAAAAAAACTGGCCATTTTCATTCGCCTTTCTAAACGATAGCTTTTTTCAGCACGTACACTTTTTTAATATGAACTTTTATGTTACTCATCGTGGGATAAATTTATAGGGTTGAAAATTTCCACAACATCCTTGTCCAGTGCTATGAGTACGCATTGCAAATTTCATGCAAATAAGACAAACGGTTCGAAAGTTAGCCTTCCGGAGTGGTGTTTCCCCTTAAGTATAATCGAACAAAGCAGTCCCGTTAATATTATTACCAGGATTATAAAAAAATCTGAAGGTCTAATGCGAAAAAGAATGGACAAACATTCCCGGGAACCGCATGCCACCCGCGCGCTCGCGCTCAACACAACAGTCTCCGATGTCGAACGCTGCCGAACCCCTCCCTCGCCATATGCAACCAGATCCCGCTGGTGGTCTTCTTCCGGACAAGCGTTGGTGTTGCTTAAGAAATTGTGTAGAGGTCATGTTTAGAGGGCCGGAAGTTAGTCAGCCTCAATAGGCAACTTGTCTCTTAGATGTTGATGAAACATTTAGCCAATGCAGTACAACCGCTAGCCTGGGGTCTTTAACGTGCACCAGGCAGTAGTGATACACGGCCGTAAGTCGTTACAATGTTCATCCCAATCAAAGCGGGCAGGGGTGGGGATCGAAACCAGAATCTACTGGTTCTGCAGCGCGAGCTTCCGCTCCACGCGCTCCGAGCGGGGGTGCGTTCGCACACTGGGCCACGGGCCCCTCTTAAGCTCTTAATTGAACCCAAGGTCATGTCTGGCTCTCAGATTTGCTTGCCCGTGAACATGAAAACGGAGCACCGCAGGCTCTCGTACAGAAAAAATTACCACCCTCGGAGGGAGCCTTGTCTAAGCACCGGTGTAAGTCACGTGCAAAAGAACGGTGCTTTGGGTTGCGAATGCACTCATATAACACAACAGATCTCATCAAAAAGCGAACAAAAAAGCTTCGTTTATTTCATTTCTAACATAAATTTAAATCTTTTAATTACCTACATGAATCTCTAAGAACCATTTCTGCGAAACAAATCAGACACAATCAGCCCTATCCTGATTAACTTACTTAGCGCTCCCTAATGGTTTCGTCTTTTTTTTTTCCAGGACGATAAGTTGCTTGAACTCCCAAATATTATTATTATTTCATTCTTTCCAGGTAATGCGTACCCTGAATGCTTAGTAATACTATTTTTTTTGGTCTAGATTGTTTGCATTTACATATACTAGTATGCTGCATAACACTATTTCGAAATTATTTTTATGTGCTTTTTTGTATCTCGGACTTGGGTGACTCCCTACATCATTTCTAAGGGAATAGGGAAGGAGAAGGTTCATGAAGGCTGTCAAATAAACAAGCAAGAGCGCCTCACCTTTGATGTTCCCTCCCATGATGAAGATTTCCCTGAGGTTCTTGCCGAATTGCGGGTCCAGGAGCAGGGCCAGGGCGGCGTTGGTGTGCGGGCCCAGCAGCAGGAGCGTAAACTTGCCGGGAGCCTCCTTCGCCATCTGAACCAGAACCTGGGAGGCGTGCGGGGAGGTTTCTCCATCGGGCCCCGCCGGATAGTCGAGGGCCACTTCGCCCAGGCCGTCGTGGCCATGGTACTCCGTGGCCAGGTCCAGGGGCTCGGTCAGCGGCCGCTCACAGCCACGGTACACGGGGATCTGGGCACATTGGGCGACTCAGGATGACTATAAACGTAAAGCGCTACGGGCAGTCTACTGCAGGCTTCTTACGTCTAACCGATCCCCACAAGTCTATTGTCCTTGCACAAAGGGTGGGTAATGTTAAGCCAGAAACGCAATCTGCACTAGTGCCGATCATCTGTAGCACATACGTAATCCAATAAAATGAAGTGTATGTTTTCAAAACATATTTCAACGTAATATGAAGAAGTTTAAGGCCGACGTTTTGAGCACTGACTGGGGCCCAGTTTATTCCAAAACAGTAGACGAAGCTTATTTATAACACATTTATTAACATCTAGAAACAAATTATAGCTCAAACTTTTCCGGGGTAAAAAGGCACATTCTAAAAAGAATGGGAAGCTCTGCACCTCAGAATGTTAAACAAGAACCGTTTTTATAAGATATTTCAAACGAAAGATTCCCATATATTGATTGTCATCAAACAATTTTGTAACCACCTGACGTCTGATTTGCGAATACCTAAATTAGAGTATCCTACGCAGCTCTATACCCGAGGTCGCAAAAAGCGACAAGGAATAGTTATACATTAAGTACTACACCGCAATAGAGAGCATACAGCGATTGGTGGACGTTCTGTTTATGGGAAAATTGTATCTGGGGTGTCACCTGCAGAACACTTCAATGAAGTCTTCGTAAACTTAAATCTACCACCACACAATGTCAATGCTTAAAATGTCATACAACATTCCAACATTTTCTAGAGAACGGGAAACAATTATTTTAAAGCGCCTATGCTCCTTTTTGCTAAGCTCTCTGTAATATCAAATTTTCAATTTGGTTTCTTCAGAAAAAGGTCAAAAGAGTCTGCGTTGCTCCATGAAAAAGAAATAATCTTTGGAAACATAGATAAAGAATCGATAGTGAATCTTAGTATATTTATAGATTTTAGCAAGACATTTTAGCAAGGCATCAGCCATAAAATACCACCAGATAAACTATGCTGTTATGGCGTGTGTGGTTGAGCTCAGTCCTTTTTACATTACAATTTGGAGTAACGTAGGCAATCTGTTGTGATTGCTGTTGGACAAGATACTCGACAAGAGTATTTAAAGTAAGTTACTAAATACCTTCTTCATAAAGTATTTAGAGTCCTACACAAGTTACCTTTCCTTCAAAGTATCTTCAGTAGAATACATATTCGTAGAAATCCAATTCAATTACTTTCGAAGATGCTTCCGCATTGCATTATTTTTATCGATTTCAGTGACACCATAATGCTCTATTGGCAAGCGACAGAAGCAAGCAGAACAAAATGACAGTATTATTTTATGAAGTCCCACTACAAGGTGTAGCATCACCGGCGCATGTTGCAAGATTATATCTTTAAGAGAAATTATCAAAAAGAGGAAATCACTTTTTTTTGTGTTCTATAACGGGCACCTTGTACGCATCGTTCTACCAAGCGCTGTAATCGCTATGTTTGGAGTTTGTGAACCATTTTGGATGCGCAAAGTAATGAGTGATTAACGAGGGAGGTTGTACAGTATGCGTGTCAGTTGCCGTACCTTCCTCAAGCACCCATACGCTGCACTTAGAGATGACTAAACAATCGGACAAGCGGACACGAAGGAGTATTGCTGCGTTCAGAAAGGCGTACAACTTTGGAAGGGTTCTTTGTTTGCATTTTGAAAGCTCATCCTAATCGTAGTTTGTTTTCTGCCTTGTTACAATAATTATCGTCATGAAAAGTTCGGGCCAGGATGCCTTCATGTGCGCTAGTTCGGGCTATCACTGTTCCCCCACAGACAGTGCTCCCGAGAGTGCCTGAGTGGGGAAAGAAACAGGCGTTCTTGCTGTAACAAAGCAAAACATAAAACAAGATCGTGATTTTTTTATATTTTTATATGTTTTTTTTGTTGTTGTTGGCAATTTCAGTCTACACCTTTGATCCTGGCTTGTTTTCTGTTTTGTTTTTGGTCGTTTCCGCTCCATGTTTTGCCCTGGGATGTGCCAATTCTTATCCATGGAAGATACTCCAGCGACAAATTTTTCAAAATTAAAAAAATGTATGTGTGATTAAAAATATAAAGCACTAAACATGTAATTCTCAAAAAGAGTAAAATATAATTTCAATCAAATGTATTTTCAAGATGCCAAATTACTACCAAAAGTACTTGAAATGCAATATTTTGATTGCGATTTGAGACAGGCACAAGTCTGGTTGTTATCAGTTGAGGCCCGATGCTTAGGCACTAGAAAAGCCACTTTAGGCGCCTATAAAAGGCACTAAAAAGTTCGTTATAGAATTTACCTATAGGTACAATCAGTTTATATTCACAGGGTGCTTTTGAAAGTATTTAGGGACTTTGCCCCCTCCCCTCCCCCCATTAAAAGAAATACAGAATAAACTGGTACAATAGGAATTACAATTTAATTTGTCCAGCATTAAAAAAAAGTCGACTTAAGCCCACATCAGTACTAAGCTGTCCCATGCTGTACATAGTTCGACTAGAAACGATGGGTCAAATTATGAAAGCAATAGCAAACAAGCACCATCTCAAGATTTTTTTGGGTTCAAACTTTCGCCCCTTGTCACTTAAGCGCGAGACACATGCGCGAAAAATCCGTCCGATCCGACGTCCGATCCGGCAATACGACTGCTTGATCCGAAAAATTTGGTCGCGTCAGGCGTCAGATCGGCGATCCGACGTGCGTCCAACGCGCCAGATAGTTTCGCACGGCGGACGGATTGTCGGATGCGTCCAGCCAATGACAGCACAGCTAGCGCGAACGTCATGATGACGTACTGAGTCTGTCGGGACGAATCAGAAAACGGGACGGGCGACGGGAAGCCGGACGCGTGGATCCCGCCGACCCATTCGAGGAAGATGGCCCCGGCGAAGAATGCACGCGCTAACGAGAACGAGCTTCTAAGTTTGCTCGTGTGAGCTAAACCGTCAATCTGGGACCAGAGATCTGTGAACGCGGACCTCCGCTGGGGTGCTTGGATCTCCTGGGCGGAGCCGAACGGATCGTCGTGTCGCATGCAAGGTCGGAAGCGTGTGTCTCAAACTGTCGCGTGCGGCAATTCGGAGCGGCGTTCGGACTGTCGGATCGGACGTCGGATCGGACGATTCTGTCGTCCATGTGTCTCGCGCTTTAGAACCAGTTCGTACGCTGAAAAAAAAAAGCGTTCCCCGTCAACTGATGTGAGTGGGGCGCACTTGTACTTAGGAATATTCAACGCTTCCACACCCTCTGGCACCCTGGAGTGCTCCCTGGTGAGAACCTTTGTGACTTCTTTGAGTACAGAAAACCCCACTATTTTTGCTCCAGACAGACTGAAGCTTTGAAAGAACTTGTACAGCAGCGGGGCCTGCGGGGACGGCGTCGACTCGTTCTTGAACGTTCAAAATGAGCCCGATGTTCCGAGCCAGAGTTTTGCCAGCACTTTCAAGGCTCTTGATTGGAGCACAAATATGCCAAGTCACGTTCGGGAGTGTCCTTGCCCAGGACATCTTGAGCCTTTCTGATTGAGACACTATCGTCTTCTGGAAATTCGTTAATGGCCATCTTCACACCAGCAAAGTTAGTGCTGTAATACTCTACAGCTTTAAGGCACGTTCCCCATCGCGTCACGATGGCTTCTGGTGGAAAAGGCATCCCTGGTAGCTGTTCCTTAAATGCACAAACACAAGACGGTGACTTAAGAAAAACACAGCCTTCACAGCAGCTCCAGATCGGTTACATGCTTGAAGCGTGTTCTTAGCTCTTCGCAAATGCCGTGGGCAACGCAGGTGGCGTGCAACATCCGCGGGTAAAAAGCCCTCAGGAGGAGGGCAGCTTTGCGCATATAAGCCGCCGCATCCATGTAAGGCAGCAACAGCCTGCTGTCTTCCAATCCAGTAGAGTATAGCACGTTCAAGGACGTGTTTACAAAGTACGCCACGGTCTTCCTATTTGTTTTCTTTAGCGCCTTGGAACACACAAGAAAAGGCGCTGTTCTCTCGTCTGCTACGAGCTTCCCAACTACGAGGTGAGCGAAAAGCGTTTGGGTCTCCGCAGACGAAAGTCTGCGGACACCCAAATGCACGAGTCCCCAAGGCTGTAAACCTCTAATTTTCTTCATTGTTTCCTCGTACATGGGCCGCAGATAGTTCTCGTGCAGAGTCGACTCCGACGGTACGGTATGACTGGAGTATTTTTGTAAGAATTTTTTTGAAAACTGGGTTTTCTACTTTCGCCTAAGGAATAATAGCGGCGACTAAGGCTTCGCACAAGTCTGCGTAGCATGCATTCTTCTTTCCATCTTAAGGTTTCCCTAAAAAATCACTATTTTGAGGGCACGTTGCGTCCTGCGTTGGCTTGATGTCCTGCGGTTGTTTCGTGTTGTGCCAGGTGGCACTTCTCACATGGAATCTGTGAAAAAAAACAGCGTTACGATATGTTGAAAATCGAAGTGCGCCGTCTGGAGCGGGGATAGCTTTAAGCAATATTTTTCTAATACTTCTAAATATACCGATACTAAAAATATATGTTTTACAATGGTGAGAAAGCCTACTCATTGTGCAAGGTTGTTCAGGTTTTAGTTTAGCATAAGAGGACACAGCTGCCATACGCTCCACTGCCAAAGCTCACTCTTGCGAGACTAGCTGCTGCTTAGGAACAGGGCGCAGGACTGTTGGGTGAACTACGATTCGCGCCCACATTGGGTGTTAGCTGTTTATGGGGGGAATCGTGAGATAGTGCACGCTCTTCATCTCTCTAGAGTTGGTTTGCCGATTATGTCGCGCAAGATAAGGGGTATTTCAGTTGCCTCGTCCCTAGCGTGAGTTTCAGCCGTACACGCCCAGCCAAAACATGGGAGGCAACAAGCACGTACTGGAGTTCAGTCATCCGATAGAAAGACACTGCGTTTTGTCTTGTTACTGAGTATAGTTAATTTACTAATTAAAATTTCAATCAGCGTCAAGAACTTTGTGCGAGTCTTTTTGGTGGTCCCTCTCCAGAACATC